TACCCCCACACCAACAAAAACAGGCCAGCTGCTCCTTGTCATCTTATAGGCCAGCTCCTCCATTGGCCCTTGTGGCTCAGGTGTGAGATATCTGGGCTGATGCTGCACGAACCCTCTGCTACCTACCAGAACCTATTGTGTCACTGCTGTGTGCTAAGAGGGAACCACTCACAATCTTGTCATTTTTCATTTTAAAACTCGGGTTTTCAAAGCCAAGCATTTCCTATTTGTCCTACAGAAGGGAAAAACTGAAGAGTAAGAGGCAGATTTGCAGCAAAGAGTTTTCACTTTCATGCAAGCTATAAACTATCTCATTTCCAAAATACCATGACTGTGTGAGAGGTGCAGATTTTAACATGAGATGCCACTGCCTCCTCTGTTTCATAAAGTAGGTTTAATGCTACAGCTAAGAGACGTTTCCCATCAGTAACATCTCCTGAGCTTGTTGCTTAGAAAAGAGCAATTCCAGGTCTTCTCACTTACCAAGCTCCTGACTTTGGCAATTAAGAATCCTCATCCTTTAGATGTTTCATTCCTTTTTTAATTATTTTTTTCTCGACAGATGAATTTCGTGCTTCAAAGATGCTTATCTGTTTCCTCTTTTGTGCATCTGCTGTTAGTATAGGATGCCATGATCACTCTAGCAGGCCTGCACCCTACAGCACCAACCTGTATGGTTGATGAGCCATCAGTGGAGGTCAGGCAGCGTGCTGCATCAAACCCTTCTGTCTGAGTAGATATGGATTTATTGGCTCTTCAGAATAAGGAGGAATAACAAGAGGAGCCCTTGGGAGTGTAAGGAGCGTTGCAGATAGCTGGGTGTGAAAGTACATGATGCAAAGGTACCAAATGCCAGATACAGAGTAGTTTGCCTGATTTGCACCGAAAAAAAAAAAAAAAAGGTAATAGTGAGAAACTGCTCTGTATTCTGCTGAGAGTTTCAGAGAAATGTATGATTTCATGTCAGGAGCCAATGAGGACACTGCTGGCTGGATGCTGTGTGTCTCTGCTACAGCCACCTCATAGGTCTTACTTAAATGGAAGAGCTGCAGGTAGGAAGCAAGGTCACTGGGGAGTGAGCTGAAGGCTGAGATGGGTCCTGAGCAAAAAGAAATCTGTGCTAAGTAAATCTTACCTGCAGGAGCTCAGCAGGTGTGCTCTCACTACTGGGATGTGCCCTTTGCTTTATGGAGTGTTAACGGGACCACAGTGGGAACGGGGAGTCCCTTGAATTGAACGATGAGCAAATTAATGCAAGGTGTAATGCTCTCTGGAGTTTATGAATTTAGCACTAATTAGTGCTTCTCTTATCTATTTTAGGCAAGTAAATCTTCAATATCCCTTGTTAAATTGGAATCATCTTGTTTGTAGAAGCAAATCATCTGGCAGCATTGATTTCTTCACCCAGTTACAGTCTGTTCTGTTTTTGCATTCTCTTTTCCTTTCTGATGTGATTTATAACCAGATATTCTGTATGAAGTTAGATTTATGGAGCAAACATTCTCCCCAAAGAGAGTTTTCTTTGAATGAAACTGACCAGCAAGGCGTTCATTTCTCACAGTCAATCCCAAATGTTACAGAGAGCCCCTCTTGACAGGAGTGACCCACCATATTTACATTTATTTTCATAGAATCAGTGGGGTTGGAAAAGACCTCTCAGATCCTCCAGCCCAAGCCCAGCCCACCCCACCATGCCCACTGCCCACGTCCCTCAGTGCCACATCTCCATGGAACACTCCAGGGACGGTGACCCCACCACCCCTTGGGCAGCTGGTGTAGCCTTTATTGTATAGGAAAACACTGATGGGGAAGAGAAAGCACTACAGCTTGTATAGTAAGAGTAGAGCCAGCCTGGCTGAGACGGAGGAAGATCGTTTCAGTTCAACAGACATGAGAGCCGTGGCTTATTTGAGCAGTGAATGGAAAATGTAGATAGAAGGTTACATCCTCTGATGACACTGATGTCTGAAATAATCAATAGTGAGCTCGTGGTTTAAAACAAACATGCACAACATGCAAATGCTGACAGCAGTGTGATAACCCAAGCAGAAACCATATGAAAATACGTCGTAAAACCTGTGGAATATTGGATGCTGTCAAGGTGGCTTCCAATGTGCTATGCAAATTAACGTGAAAATCTCGACTTTCTAATCAATTAGAAGGGATAATTTGGCAGCAGTATTAATAACCTCAGGAACAAATGTAGCATGAAACTCTACAGCACTAAAGGGAGGGTTGTGTGACCTCAGCTCAGCTCAGCAGACTTTGCCTCGTCTATGAAAACTCAAATCTTAGCAAAAAGTGATACACATCCATCAGCCATTTCACTGCCTACAAGAAGCAGATGAGGATTTTTCCTCATTCTCCCGTGTAAGGAAAGACACGATGGGGTCGTTCCTGTTTATTTCTGTTAAACTGTTACTCAAGGATAGTATTCTGCACTGTATGAGGCTAAAGAATTATTTTTACTTTTCTCCGCTGTGGCAGATAGGGTGCAAATGGTGTAGGCTGAGGCAGCAACACCGTCTGCATTAACTAGCAGTAAGGGAGTCCTTTCTTCCTTCAGGGGGCTGCAGCTGCAGGAATAAGATGGCTGAGTGTGTAAGCTAAGCAGCAAGTAGATAAATTCCAGATGATGATGTAGAGGTGGTTCATACAAACCTTACAGTCTTGCAAGCATTGTAGAACTGGAAAAGACCTTTGAGGTCAATTCATTTCCCTTCTGTCATACGCAGTCTTCTGAAAGACGCTGGGTGATGAAGTGATCCAGCTCCACTGCAAAATTCATTTTTGCTACCATTCCTCCTACTGTAATTGTGCAAGAGGAGGAATCTTACTGCAGCTCCTTGGAAACTTAGAAATCTTCCAATTCCCAGCCTCAATATACTCATACCCAGTTTATTCACATCAATTCTTCTGCCAAAATTGTGCTTCTGCTTAAATAGCACTTCCTTCTCTGTGCTTAACCATGATGTATTTATAGCGAGCCCTCTCTCATGGCATGAGATGAAACAAGCCATCCTCTTTAAGTCTCCTTCCATATACCAGAACAGATTTGCCATGCTCTGGATCATCCTTGCAGCCCTTTCCTTCACCTTCTCCAGTCTTGCACGGGGACCAGAATCAGAACCAGAAGCTATAAACTGTCTTACCAGAGGTTTTACAATGTTGTTAACATTCCCTTCTTTCTCACTGCTGTACTGTGTGCTTGTACTGTCTGCACCTAGAACTGTTCAAGCATATAGATGGCGTTAGGCAATTAACCATTGGGTGCTGGCATGTCATCTCATCTCGTACCACTTGTGCTCCTTGGGAGTGTGGTCAGCATCTCGCAGGCAAAATCCTTCAGTGCTTCTCATCTGATGCTTTCTCATCCTTGATAGCTCCCGCAGAGTATTTCAGCACAAAGATGTTCCAGCAGCCTCTACAAATGCAAAGTGAATCATTCACAGAAAGCACAACTCATCCATCTCCTTTAGTGTCACCAATTAATAGCGGCTCAGGATGCCTTGAGATCTATAGCTGCTTAAAGGAAGAAAAACAGCCAACCCCTTCCTATAGTGCCGCGCTGACATTGTGTTTTGTGTGCTCTGCCTGTGCAAAGGAACTTTATTAAATAAACTAATGGGGGGGAAAGTGTGCAATGGCCTTTGGTGTGAGACTTTAAAGAAAGTAAAAAGACCGCTTATGTTTATCCAGGATGGAAAGGGAACGAAAAACTAAAAATCAATTGGTAGACAAATGATTTCTTACTATTGGAAAACATTTGTCATTCTGGAAGCCAACGTCTCTTGCTTCTGATTTGGATTATGTGACTCCGTGCTGCAGAAATTCAGGGATCATCCTTAGAAGGGCAGTGTTGCTTTGAAGTGCAGCTCAGGCTGGATCTGTGTGCTCCTTCCTCGGGCTGGGAGCTCTTGAAGCAAAATCATTGCACCCTTTGGTGGAGCTGCTGCCTTGAGCTCTCTAGCTGCCAAGCAGCCCTGGTCAAATCCTGACAAACACAAGAATGCTCTCCCAAACAGCTGCTGACATTGATAGGGGTTTTCTCTTCTTGCCCCCATCCGTCCCACCCATCTTGCTTCCCTGGCTGAGGCATAGGGGCTGCTGATGGCATTTCCCATTGAGCATGCTGGGTCTTGAAGGGGATTAATTCACTTCCAGTTAATCTGCCAGGGGAGAAGTCTGTGCCTAAGCGTAATGGAGGCTAATTAAACAGAAAACCATCCATTTGTGCTATCTCATTAGGGATTTGTCATAAAAACCTTATGTTCTCTTACAAACCTAAACAAGTGTGTTCACCATGTGAAAAACAGCAATAAAACTGTCCAGAGGGTTGTTAAGTTCTAAGCTGTCGTTTATACAGCCTGTCTGCATCCTGTAGGTAAGGAATGGCCCTTCTGCTGTCCTCAAAGCACCCTGTGTAACAGGGGCATCCCTCCTTTAAAATGGGAAAGAAGGCCAAGCCCAGAGCTGGCAGTCATTTGGAGCGGATGCTTCTCTGTCTGGCCCTGATGGGAGCCAGGGATCAGAAGCAGAGGACACTTGTTGTTTCAAATCTGCACTGAAGATGTTTGAAGGTTTACACAGCGTAAATATAATGGTGTATCCCAGGAGATACAGACGTTGGCTCCCCCGATGCCTGGTCCCTTCCTTAGCCCCAACTGGGTGCGTTCAGGAAAACTAAATTCCCTGTAGGTGATGGGAGATGTCATGCTGTTTTGCAGCAAGAGAAACTTAACGAGCTGTGTCCTCCAAGGGAAAGTTTTCCCAAGGGAAAATGAGCGTGGTCTATCTAAATGACTGCTCTCCTTCACTCCTGTCCAGACAGAGATTTTCCCTCATCCAAACTCGACTAACTTCAGGGTTTCTACCGAAACCAGGACTTGTGCAGAAGTCATACGAGGGCAGGTCTGCAGACCTTCCGCCGCGCGGGAGATCAGTGCTTTCCAGCCGTGGTACAACCCCCCATGGTAATGCCAGCTGGTGTCTCCCTGCAGGCATCCGAGGTGGAGAGGCAGCTCTCCCTGCAGGTCCACACGCTCCGGGAGGACTTTCGGGAGAAGAACTCCTCCAGCAGTCAACACATCGTGCGGCTCGAGAGCCTCCAGGCTGAGGTGAGTCACCTGTGCTTGGCCTTGTTCCTTCAGACAGCATTCAGGGCGAACCCCTCTGTGCTGGGGGAACAAAACCAGCTGCTTGGGGTGAGCAAGGAGAAGGTTGGTAGCTGTGCTGGCCAGGTTGGCAAAGGACAAAGTCCACCATTGCAACCTCAGCCACGAGCACACCTGCCAAATGAATGGATGGGAAGGATCTTCCAGGACGTTCACCATGGAGCTGAATCACATCAGGCTTCTGTCTGTACAGCTTAACCTCTAAGGCCATGGTGGGAAGATCTGTAAGGTTTGGGTCCTTTTTGCTGTTTCTAATGCTTGCAAAGAAAGCAGCCATCCTCCCCTATCTCTGAGCCAGTCATGCATGGAAGTAGAGCGATACATTAGCAGGGTTGATAGCATTTTTTACTTCCCTTCCCTGATGGGAATCACTGGAACTAATGGGGTAGAAGATGTCCAACCCTATCACCCTGCCACTTTGCTTATTTGTAAGCTATCTGGAAGAGCTTTTCCTAAAATCTCTCAATTTCTTCTCTCCTGCTCCCACCTGCTCCCTGCTGGCCCCTCGCCTTCTCTTCCCCTCCCCTCGGTGTGGAGCAGCAGGTCCTTGAAGTAAGTATGGAGGCTCGGAGGGGGCTTGCCTACACGTGCACCCAATCACCATGCATGCATGTCATTATGTATGCCTCACCTCGACTTCTTCCCATCTCTTGCTTTCCAAATCCGTCTCCCCTATTTGCATGGCCCAGGGCCCACGTTGGAGTCAGAAGCACAGGGGTTGGCAGGGCCCCTTGGGGATTATGTAGTACAGAGTGTTGGCTTTCTCTTACATGGTCATTCACAGCGTGTTCATCACTGGTTTGGATATCAAATACTCTCAGTACAATCTCTGTATTATACCTCTTATTTTCCTTGTACCCCTTCTCTCCCACCCACACAAATCATGACAGTGGTGGGAAGAGACAGCTCAGAAACAATTACTCACCTACAAGCAGCTTTCTAATACCTACAGCAGCCTTTACCCTGCAGAAACAGCAAGATGTGCTTTGCTAATATTCCTTCGTGCAGCCAAACATTTCCAGCAACATGGAAAACAACAAAAGACAGGAGCCCATAGAGGCCAAGAGAACAGTAGGATATGCCGAATTTTTCTGTCATCCATGTTGAAAGGAGTTGAAAAGAGACCATAGGGCATATTTAGGGTTGTACTGGAGTGGAGAACAGCATACACAGTCCTCAAAGGTCCCGTGTGCACAAATCTGGAAAAAAGTCTCCTTTTTCTTGGTTAAACAAAAAGTGACCTTGGCTGGTGCTGATTCATCCTGTGCACCGTTCCCAGCTAAGTGAATCACAGAGGTTTTGCTTGGCACGTTGTCCCTCCTCACCTAAAATCACTGCCCTTGACAATTAAAAGAAATGAACCAATTTTTAAAGGCAGCCCATCTCTGGGAAATTAAAAATAAGTGTGGCACAGAAAGGAGCCTTCATGAATAAAAAGAAAAATCCCCAGTGAGAACCTGGTGAATGTGCAACAATTAAGAAAAGCATACAGGCAGTGCATTACACAGCCCCGCAGGGAGCAGGAGCTCAGGGGCTCTCCCTGTGCTCTCCAGCATCCATGTAGCAGAAAATCCCACCATCTGCTCAGGCAGAGATGGACCTGGAGAAGTAGCTGGTTTCATCCTTGCAAGTTTTAGGGTAGAAGGAGTAGCAGTTTTTCTCTTGCACACAGGTGCTGAATACATACACGTATATTTTGGGGTTTTTTTTTCTGCTTTATTTCTCTCATGGGGATGTGGTTTCCCTCATCTGCACTTCCTGGAAAGTATGGGGTTCAACACCAGCTCTCATCCCTCTGCAGATCAAAATGCTGACGGACAGAAAGCGAGAGCTGGAGCATCGCCTTAGTGCCATGATGGAGGAGAACGACCTGCTTCAGGGAACAGTGGAGGAGCTGCAGGACCGAGTCCTCATCCTGGAGAGACAAAGCCATGACAAGGACCTGCAGGTGAGAAGGCAGCAATGGGAGAAGGAAGAGGACAGGAGGTGGGAAATGAGTCAAGGATGTGGTTTGGGGTAAAATCAACCAGAAAGACAACAGGGAACCGGGAGATGGAAGAACTGAACAGCCTTAAGTTGCACCAGGGAGGTTCAGGTTAAATACTGGGAAAAAAAGACTGGTGATGCAGCAGCACAGGCTGCTGAGGGAGCGGTGGGGTCACCATCCCTGGAGGTGTTCCAGAACTGTGGAGATGTGGCACTCAGGGATGTGGTTATTGGGCACAATGGGGTGGGCTGGGGTTGGACTTGGAGATCTTAGAGATCTTTTCCAACTGTAATGATTCCATGATTCTATGAGAGAATAAAATGCAAGGATCTGTTCTTCATAGAGATAGAAAAAAAGATGGAGCATCTTGATACGAAGTGCAATTTGGGGGGAGAGCCGAGCAAAGGAACAGGAGGGGAGGCTGGGTGAAGAAGGGAAATGTAAAAGGAAGCAGAAAACAATGATTGTGGTTCACATCACTCAATGTTTTAATAGCAGCAGTGGCTCCAGAAGGGGGTCATTTACTCTAGCCTGGAGGACAGTGAAGCTCTCTTAGCTTGGGTGGTTTCCCAGCAAGCTCCATCTCACCAAACATCACTCCCTGGAGAAAAGCTGGCATGGCTGTAGCTTTGGGCATCTTCATGGAGAGCACAATTATATACCTCACTTTACTTTTACTTCACATCTGACAACCTCTTGCACCCCCAGCTCTTCCGAACAGTCAGAATCTTTTTTTTTTCACCCTCTTTAGAAGAACAAGAAAGCTGCCGATGTGTCAGACAGCATCCTCCTCCCCAGCACGTTCAGCTCTGCTGCTCACACAACACCTGGCTGTGCCCCAGCCCCATGCACAGCTCCTGCCCAGGCAGACTGCAGCTCAGTGCCTACGAAATCACACAGTTGGGTGACCACGGATAAACCCCAAAACAAATCAATGCCAGTGCTGCGTCTTGTGTGTTTCAAACACTCCATTAACTCAGATTGCAAAGCGGTGAATTAGGGAGTTTGACATCAGAGTTTTGTGGCAGAATGTTTATAGTTATAAGGAGACTTCTTTCATGGTGTATTTATATTGGTTTTCTTTTTTTGATTCAGTTTCTGTTGTGTTAGTTTTAGTAAGCTTTTTTCACCCGAGTCTCAGCTTCTTCACAGTGTTCCTCATTTTAGCACTGATTTACCTGCTGATTTCATCTTCCAGTGTCTAATAACGTTTGGAGATTATTTAGCTCCAATAAACAGTAACATCAGCCAAGAGTGGTTTCCTTTTGGTTGGAAACCCTCTTTCATGCCAGCTCTTCCTCCCTTTCAGGTCCTTCATGAATCAAGAGATTCATCCAGTCCGTATCACCTCCACTAACACTGTTTCCTCTGTTTGCTTAATTTTCTTTGGAAGCTGCACCAAAGCCAGCTGGAGCTCCAGGAGGTGAGGCTGTCCTACCGGCAGCTGCAGGGGAAGGTAGAAGAGCTCAGCGAGGAGAGGAGTCTCCAAAATTTCAACACAACCAGCACGTCCCTGCTGTCTGAGATAGAGCAGAGCATGGAGGCAGAGGAGCTGGAACAAGAACGAGAGCAGGTATTTGCCCTCCTGCCCCTGACAATGCCCATGGACTTCACCAGCCCCAGAAAGAGATGTAAAATGTTGGATCTGGGCTTGAAGCTGAGCCCATAGCCAGAAATTCATAGAATCATAGAATGCCCTGGGTTGAAAAAGACCACAGTGATCATCTAATTTCAATTCTCCTGCTATATGCATGGTCACTAACCACCAGACCAGGCTGGCCTTGAATTCCTCCAGTGATGGGGCATCCACAACCTCCTTGGGCAACCTGTTCCAGTGCCTCACCACCCTCTGTGTTGGGGTTGTGGTCCCAGCTCTAGGAGTAAATTTCAAAACCAATATAGCAAACCAGGTGAATATTTGTGAGCTTTAGCAATCACACGCCTTGTCGCAGCGGAGGTGGAGGACCTCTGCAGCCTTGACACCCAAAGCTTACCTGGGACTCTCTCGTTCCAGCTGAGGCTGCAGCTCTGGGAGGCATATTGCCAAGTGCGGTACCTCTGCTCCCATCTCAGAGGAAATGACAGCGCAGACTCCGCCGTCTCCACGGACTCCTCCATGGATGAGTCTTCAGAAACCTCATCAGCCAAAGATGTCCCGGCCGGCAGCCTACGGGCAGCTCTCAGTGAGCTGAAAAGACTGATACAAAACGTGCTGGATGGGGCAGACTCCACGGTGAGTTGGCAGCACTGTTATTGCCCTGTGTCCCCTTGCCCAAGCTGTCACAGGCTCTCACTTGACCCTGAAGACCCTTGTCTCTGAGAAAGCCCGTGGGGAAGAGCTGTCTTGGTGCACTGCCTGCTCTTTGTCAAAACATCATAGAGTCATGAATGGCCTGAGTTGAAAAGGACCACAATGATCATCTGGTTCCAACCCCCTGCTATGTGCAGGGTCACCAACCAGCAGACCAGGCTGCCCAGAGCCACATCCAGCCTGGCCTTGAATGCCTGCAGGGATGGGGCATCCACAACCTCCTTGGGCAACCTGTTCCAGTGCCTCACCACCTCTGTGTGAAAAACTTCCTCCTAATATCTAACCTAAACCTCCCCTGTCTCAGTTTAAGACCATTCCCCCTTGTCCTATCACTATCCACCCTCACCATCAGCCAAGGGCCAAACCAGCACATGGGATTTCAGTTCCATGGATTTCAAAGTTACATGTTGAACAATCCTCATCCATCTGGGAATCATTCTGGGAAATGAATGAAAGGAGATTTAAGGTTTGCAGCAAGTTTGAGTTTCAACGTGGAAGTACCGCAGGTGGATGCGTGCATCCCAGTTCAGTTATTTCTGTTATGATTTGTCTTTGTAGAAATAGTGTAGTGAAACCTTTGTAACCCCTATATGGGTAGGTTTGGGCTCTACAATTGGGGCTGCATACAGATGTTTTGGTGAGACCAGGCATGAATCCATCACCATGTGAAGACTTTTGCTGGTACATAGTGGTGTTAAGGGGTACACCTTTGGCACTGTGAGGGGATGGCTTGGGGGGATCACTCAGCATCCACAGGAGCATAGAATTACAAGAAAACACCTGGATTTTTGCAAAGTATCAAAAATGAGGCCTATTTTCATCACCTGCAAGCATTGCTAGCATGACTTAGTTGAGAGGCTGTGCTGATGCAGGCAGTGCAGACCTTGCAACTGCAGAGCCATGTGCACCCTCCTCATTTCAGTACCTGTAGCAGCTGGTAGGAAGCTGAGCATGGAGGTGAAATGGTATTTGCTAAAGAAAAAAGAGAGTCCTGGAACAGGTCTGCAAACACGGAATGTAGTCCCACGTGTGGTCATTAGGTCTCAGTGAATTTGGTTTATGCTGAGCTAAGAGCACTGCCCTTCAAATCCATGCAACTGCCCTTTAAAAAAGAAAAAGCAAACAATAAAAACCTGATCAAGGGATTTCTCTCCTGCTGCCAGAGCTCTCGGCGGAGCGACGATGACTCCTTAGAGGAACAGATCAGGAGAACAAGTGAGGACTCGAGAGCCCTGAGGGAGTTAATGGAGGGAGAACGGGGGAAACTGAGGCAAAGTCTGGAGGAGCTGCAGAGGCTGCACAGCCAGGTTAGTAATTCCCACACTTCTCAGATGGCCTTTTAACACAGCCTTCACCCCCAAGACACACATTCCGTAGAAGAGATCACCATGATGAATAGCCCAGAAGGATCTGGGTGAGCACCAGCTACAGTTGGATAAGAAAATCTACATTAAACCCAGTGCAGAGGCTTTCTTGCATGTGGGATCAGAGCTTCTGCATTTTGCAGGTGTCCGGGTGCCCATCCCACACATCATCCCAAGTAAAACCAAATATCCTTTGAACCTTTTACCCAATCTGCTTTAGCAGCCAGCCTTTCTCACTTAAACTTTTCTCAGCAGAAGATCCCAGAATATAGGGCTGCTTGATATGGGGTGCTGGAACCCAGAGGCATCCATTCTGATCCATCTTGCACTAAGTCCTCAGAATGTTTTTCTATTTTATAATTTGCTTTTACCTGAGGATAGATGCATCTGCTGAACAGACAAACCAGCACTGCTGTGTTGCACGTGGCACAAAGCTCACACCTTTCCAGCACATCCCACTGCAGCATCGTGGTACGTGCTAATTGCACACCCAGGGAACCCTAATCATGGCCAAGCTGGCACCATGCCACACCCCTGAACCAACAGGGCTAATGCTAAATCAAACACAGCAGCAGCAAACGATCCAACCCCAAATCCAAACTCCACACACGCAAAGTGTTGAATCAGACTGCATCTATCCACGCTGAGGCATCATCTGAGGTCATATTCCAAAAGCAGCAAGCGGAGACACCCAAAGACAAGCTTGGCAAAGCCTGTCTTCTATGGGACAAGCCTCCACGTGCCACAGGAGATGTGGAGGCTGTGGCAGAAGCAGCCTTTGGCACAGCTGCTCGTGCAATACCAATGGCATTGGAGCAGGGGATGGGGTCAGCACCGTTGGCTGCTTTTGCCCTTTGCACTGTATCCTTTTGGAAAAAGGAGAAGAAAACACAACCCTGTCCATAAACTCAGCACGACTGATGGACTCACATGGGGCTGTGGGAGCTCCCTGCCCTCCATATGAAGATTCCTTTGAGGATCCAAAGGAGGTGGGTCAGGTGCTGGAAGGGTTTCCAGGTGGTAGAGGAGCGTAACAGAGCGAGCATGTGCCAGAGACAAAGAAATTAAATGTGTATGAAATACTGTGAATCCGTGCATGATTTCACACCCTATTAACTCGCTCCGCACAGGACCGAACCAATAGATCATTTCTCAGACTGTCTTAAGACTCTGCACCCGTTTTGAAGTCTAATTAAAATTGTAAGACATGCCAGTAACACCTTCCATGGTGCGAAAGGGAACTTTCACATCCTTTGTCTTCAGCTTCGCACAGCTTCAGAAGACACAATGAAGTAACTGTTCCCACTCCAAAAAAAAAAAACACCAAAAACAGGAAAAACAATCCCTCTTGCTGCTAGATTTGCAGCTTTACAGACAGGGCACCTCAGTCTCCAGCTTGCCCCTCTGGCTTGTTTTCCACCCTCCCTTGCACTGTGCTCATCCTGGGTGTTTCCACTCTCCCCCTGTGAGCTCAGGTCACACTGCTGAGCGTGGAGATGACGACGCTGAAGGAGGAACGGGACCGGCTGAGGGGAGCTGCAGAAGACAAGGAGACGAGCGAACGGCTCCTGCAGGCCATCCGGGATCGGGACGAGGCCATCGCCAAGTGAGTTGGGACACAGCCTGAGCCAGGCTGGGTTAGGGGGACAGGAGCTCCTGCCTCCAGGGTGGCTCGTTTCAGCCCTGCTGGTGATGGGAAATGCTGGAGGAGTCAGGAGTTCCTAGGAGCTACCCTATGGCAGGGCGAGGGGCTTTCAGGGGATGCTGTGAGCCCTGGTTTTGCCATCCATGGTGCTGGTGTGTGGCACAAGAAGACTTTAGGGAAGCAAACGGAATCCCTAGCTCTGTCCTATTCCTTTTTCTTCTTTTGCTCTTCCACATACACAGAATGGCCCAGGTTGGAAGGGACCTCAAGGATCACGAACCTCCAACCCCCTGCCACATGCAGGGCCACCAACCTCCCCATTTAATACCAGACCAGGCTGCCCAGGGCCCCATCCAATCTGGCCTTGAACACCTCCAGGGACGGGGCAGCCACAGCCTCTCTGGGCAGCTGTTCCAGCACCTCACCACTCTCATTGTAAAGAACTTCCCCCTGACATCCAACCTAAATCTTCCGTCCCTCAAAACCATTTCCCCTTGTCCTGCTGTTATCTACCCTTTCATAGAGTTGACTCCCCTCCTGTTTATAGGCTCCCTTAACACACAAGACTTGCTTCCCTGCCCATCTCTATTGCAGCCTTGCCTGGACCTTATCTCTAAAGCATTCCTCTGCTCACTCTCTATCTTTTCCTGTTCCAGAGTCTTTTTTGCATCTCCTGTCCTGTAATTCTCTTTTTCTCTGGTCGGGATTCTCACACTGTTTTGAATCTTTATTTTTCCCCATCTTCCTCCTCCCAGCCCTCTGCCATTTTACTGCCCTGTACCCCGTACCTCCTCCTTTGGCTCTGCTCCTTGGAACACTGCAGAGCATTGCTGCCCTGAGTTCTTTTCCCGAAGAAGAATGGGCAGAACAATTCATCCCCCGTCCTGTAGGTAGAAAGAATAGGCCTGATAATCTCCTCCGAAATGAGGTGGCCAGAACACCAGCAGTGTATCTCCTTACAGACACATCTAATACTCAGGTGCTTGTGAGAATAGGAAGTGAGAGCAATGCTGCTCTGAGGATGCAGGGAGATAAATCTCCATGCGGAGACCTTATGTTTTTTGTTGTTTTTTTTTTAAGTGAACTGCTCAGCCATGCTGCTCTTGCCCAGGTATCCAGCTTCCAAATTCCCATTGCTGTCCTCTGTTACACCTCCATCTGTTGGCATAAAGCAGGAGTGTCCCAGCTGCACAGCCGGGTGCAGAGACGTTGTTCTGACATTTCCTGTGCATGTGGGCTGCTGGTTCTTGCTGTGGCTATGGCAACGTGCAATAAATCCCACTGTAATATCCAAGCAGCAGTGGGGAGCTTCAGAGGAAAAGGCTATTTCAGGTTCTCAGACCCACAGCCAGGAGCAGAAGGGTACAGCTTCTCCACAGTGGTTAATGACCCTATAAAGCCCAGAGGAAGGGGACGTGACAAGTGTGCATGGATGAGTGGTGGGTGATTAACGAGCAGTAGCTGCAAGTGAAAGGAGACAGCATAGAGATGCTGGAAATGAAAGTGTCATCCTGCAGACAGAGGGGATGCTGCATAGCAGCAAGCTGCCCACCAGGCATGCAGTGCTCTGCCCACCTGCACCTCAAGGGTTAAATCACTGCTGTTGAAGTGCTCCCCCCACCCCAAAAAAAAAGAAAACCAACCCAACGCTGCACGAAAATAAAACCACCGCCTGAAGCAGACATCTGGCATAGAACATTTTTAGCTTGAAGCTGAAGTTTGGCAAACATGGGAAGCAATAGGAAAAGAGGGTTCTAGAATAAGAAGCGTTCAGCGATCGCTACCTGGAATATAAACACAGATTCCCAAATTGCTCTTCTGCAGGGGAGCGTGAGGGAGCTGTTACGAAGTGATGAATGAGAGATAGTTAATAAGATGCAATTATTCCTCCCCAAAAGATTTTCAAGGAAAAATGGTTCCCAGCAAGTCGCATTCCATTTTCCCCATCACACAACAATTCATTGATAACTTCAGGTTTGTGGCCAGGCAGCCTGCACCTACCTGTATGCTTCCCAGCACAGCGAGCATTTCCCAGCTCAGACAGCTTAGGGAATTGCTCCTTCCTAGGAGATAACTCCTTTCTGCTTCCCTGTAGCAGCTGAGCATCCCACCACCAGGGCCGAGCCATGGGCTCACCTGCCCTCAGAATGCCTGGGATGACATCAGAGTGGCATTCCTGAGTGGCAACTGAGAGCTTTCTTTAAAGCTTATTATTTAATTCAAATAATTAATTTGATTTTTTTAAAGAATGACAAACTGTTGAAGTATATGCTATGATAAATTCCTTCCTTCAGTTCTTTGCTCAGCCCAAGCCCCATCTCTGGAAACTGAAAGCAGAGTTGTACTTTTTGCAGGGTTATTTTTTCATATTGCAACCTATTGATCAGCTGGGCAGAAAAAGGGTCTTTGTTTTTTAGAGCATGCTATTTCATTTCCCATACATTAGTGAACAGAAGAAATGCAAGAATTATTTATAGATAGATTCTAACCCATTTTTGTCCTCCATTTTTAATGGCAGATCCTGCACATTATTCAGATGTACAATATTCTTTTGTAGAGCAGCACATCTGAATATTTTCTCCTATTTTTCATGGTGTTGTTACCTAAAATCTGCTTGTTTTATGGTAAGGATGTCTGCAGTTCTGGCCCACTCTTCTGATAAATAGACCAGAATACAATGGAGAACTGCTTAGGATTTAGGGACTCGCCAATTAAATAGAATCATAGAATGGTTTGAGTTGGAAGGGACCTTTAAAGGGCAACTGGTCCAACTCCCCTGCATTGCCCAGGGACACCCACAGCTCCATCAGTGCTCACAGCCCCATCCCCTGACCATGGGTGCCTGCAGGGATGGGGAACCACCACCTCTCAGGGCAATTTGTGCAGTGCTTCACTGCCCTAAGTGTAAGAAACTTCTTCCCTATATCCAATCTAAATCTCTCCTTTCCATCTGAAACCATTTCCCCTTGTCCTGTCACACAGACCTTGCTAAAGAGTCCGTCCCCTTCTTTCATTCGGCACCACTTTTTGATTAAAATGAACAAACTGCTGACTTCCGAAGGGTATGTCGAACATTTCCTTAAAATAATAATAATAACAACAACAAAGTGAAAAGTTCCCATTTCTTGCTCTCCCCCCAGGAAGAACGCTGTGGAGGTGGAGCTGGCCAAGTGCAAGATCGACATGATGTCCCTCAACAGCCAGTTGCTGGATGCCATCCAGCAGAAGGTGAACCTCTCACAGCAGCTGGAGGCCTGGCAGGTGAGCAGCCCCCACTGCCACAGGGCAGGGTGGGAGGGCATACAGAGCACACAGCAGAGGAACCCACCTGGGTATCCGTGTGGGGGATGCCCTCAGCATCAAGATATGCAGATGCAGCACATCTGTTCTTGTAGCCAAGCAGGAGGTGGGGATGTTGTGGTCATTGGTCCATTGCGTAGCGCTGTTGTCAACGCAGAAGATGTGGCACGATGGAAAAGCTAAAATGAGAGCTCTCAAACAAGGTAAAACAAACAAATAAATGAATAATCAGATCCCAAACCCGCAGCAGGTGGGGGCAAATGCCCCAGAGATGTTTTTCTTAGGGTCAGTGGGACAGACCCGTGCCAAGCAGAGAGCCTTGATGGCAGACAAAGCTGAGTCCTCTGAGAAAGTGGCACTGAGGGAGCATGACTAATAGAAAATGAGCAGATACAAGAGAAAAGGTCTGGGTCAGTTACAGGAAATTGGTGCAGACCCTGCAAGACCCCAACTCTACTACCACCCAACCTGACCAGTAGAAACCTCTCCCATACAACCTCACTCCTGTTTCAACTCCACCGTGTTTTCGTTTCTTTTTTCTTCTTCTCTTTCTCCTGCTTACAGTTTGCTTCCTCAGGGCTTTTTACTATCTGGCTCCTTTGGTTTCTGATCTAGTGGCCTTTCTCAGTTCCTGTACCAACAGCTTTAGTCGTACACCCCTCCTGCCTTTGAGGTGAGATCCCTGCACCTACCGAACACCCACCATCACCTCGCCTGCTCCATTCACTGCTGTCTCCACCTGCATCCACCTCTGTCCTCACCACCATCTGGCAAGAAAACAGCGGGGGTTCCTCATCACTCCTCAGGGCCCCGCATCCCCCAGCACCAGGGGCAGAACCCTGCAGGGAGGCTTTGCCCCCAGGTCATCATGGGGAAAGCCAAGCTGAAGTCCATATGTCATTAATGCTGTGTGCTCAGCTTGTCCAGCATCAGGAAAATTCCAGAGGAGCAGGCTGGGATTTTACTTCTCAGCCTCAATATCTAGTAAGTGATATGCAGCACTCCGCAAGTTTGAATGAGTGGTGTAAATTCAGCTGCTTACTAATACCACCTAATCTATATATGTGTATGTATATCATATACACACACTCCAGCTTTCCTGGAGTACTGCATTCAGACATGGAGTCCTCAGTACGGGAAAGATATGGACCTGTTGTAGGTCACAAAAATGCTCCAAGGAATGAACATCTCCCTGTTAGGACAGGCTGAGCTGGGGCTGTGCAGCATGGAGAGGAGAAGGATCCAGGGTGAGCTGAGAGCAGCCTTCAGTATCTAAAGGAGGTCCATGAGAAAGAAGGGGACAGACTCTTTAGCAGGCTCTGTTGTGATGGGACAAGAGGAAATGGTTTCAAACTAAAAGAGGGGAGATTTAGATTGGATGTAAGGAAGAAGTTGTTTACAAAGGGGCGGTGAGGCACGGCACAGGGTGCCCAGAAAAGTGGTGGTGCCCCATCCCTGCAGACACCCACAGTCAGGGGATGGGGCTGTGAGCCCTCATGGAGCTGTGGGTGTCCCTGTGCACTGCAGGAGGGTTGGACTAAATGGCCTTTAAAGGTCCCTTCCAACTCAAACAATTCTATGATGATTCTATATAAAATCATACCCATCTCTCATTATGTGATTAACCAAAGGTAGATCTGCCATGCTGGATGTCCATCTCATATGATAGTAGAGTTGCTTTCCAAATCCAACTGCTATAAATTTCTACATGGCAGCTTCACCTCTGGAAACCATTAACGTTGATGTTTACCTTAACCTCTTCAACTCTCCCTCTGCCTCTTCCCTTTCCAGTCCAAAGATTCCCCTGTCTACTTAGCTCTGCACCCTTGTGCTTTCTAGAGATACCCCAAATACTAAATTCAGGTCCTGGCCATGGCTCAATCCTTTTCCCTCCTGGAAGTGGCATTTTCCCATGTCTTCTTCTTCCCTCTGAGCCCCACTTGTGGGTCCCAGGGCTGGCAGAGAGGACACTGCTTTCCCCAGGCTGTCAAATAGCCCAGCTACAAGCAGCACCAAGCCTGATGTCTAAATCCAGGTGGGAAACTGAGATTGGAACAGTAAAGGAAGGGAGAAAAGTGGTAAAGAGAGGTGTATACCAGTTCAACACCAGTCATGTTGCAGCTTCCCAGATGGAGAAGCATCTAGCTGCTCAAAACAAAAACCCAAAAAGACAAACAACAAAAAACAAGTTTCCTTGTGTCACAGTGATTTCAGCTCCCTGGTGTCCCTAAAACAAGGATCCCAAGTAGCCCTTGGCTATGGGTACCAGCACACAATGCCCTGAGCAGCCCCATCTTCCATGCTGTCCCAAGGAGACGCAGGGCTGGGAGGTCACCTGAGCCCACTACGGCCACAGGCAAAGGCCTTTGGTGGCCATCCAGGTCACCCAGACTCCACCTGAAGATTTCTCCCAGCAGAGGCTGTGTACCATCACTTCTAGGTCCATAACATCAGCAACTGCTGAGACTCTTCCAACCCTCCCAACTGGTGGGGTCCATGGGTACCCCAAAAAACACAATTGAGCCCTGCCCTGTGTGCAGAGCCTCAAAAATGGCACTTCTCATCCTGCAGTCTGCACAGATAACTTTGTTCTCACCAGCCAGCACCCTCAGTCCTAATCAGGGACCAAAACACCGGACAATAAGTGATATCTCCCATGGGGATAATCTGCATACATAGATTTTCGCTAATCTTCAGCTTAAATACACAGTTACAGCAGAAATAATGTATCTGAAAGTTTAAGATTTTGTCAGATTGGCAGCCAGGTTTTCAAGGAACACATCAGTACGTGTCATTAGCAGCAGTATAGCTGACTGCCTTGTGTGGAGCAACTTCACTCTGCTGCATACATGGATTAAACCACAGCATCTCTGGTGTTTGGTGCCAAGCAGTCAGTCAGAGAGCTCCCATCGCTCTGCCAGCACCACTGGGAAGGAACTGGGGCTAAGGGATGAGCACCAAAGTGACAAGATCCACATGGGGTTTTTGTGAGCCTATGCCTGACCTCAGTCCCTCTACTCTTGGGAGCACCTTCCCCCAGGAAGGCCCTTCAGTGGGGCTGCAGGACAGCCCTGCCATTCCCTGGTTTGCAAGCCTGCTCAAGCAATTCATCCCCCAGGCAATGCGAGTTACCTTCTCACTCACTAGAAAACCTCACAGTGGAAACTGGGGCTGAGCCTGCTGCTGGGCAGGGAGCTGGGGCTGTCCCCACGCTTGTCATCATCCCTTCTCCATCTCATTGCAGCACGTTTCACACCCACATCCCCACACAAGCTCCCCTCGAGCATCAGCTGCCTCTAACGCCCATCTCCTCTCCCTCTGCTGCAGGATGACATGCACAGGGTCATTGACCAGCAGCTGATGGACAAACACCCGAAGGAATGGAGCCAGCTTGCTTATTCCTTCTCCAGTGGCTACGTCGCAAAGCAGAGTGCCAGACCCTCCCCTGTGCTCCGGCCAGAGCCGCAGGGGGATGAGCCCAGTGGGGCAGAAGGGCACCGTCTCTTTTCCTTTTTCAAGAAAAACTAACTTGAAAAAGAGAAACCCCTCCAACCATTCTTGCTTCGAGGTGGGGAGAGGGCAGCTGCCCAGCTTGCTGATGGACCCAGCGCTGATCCACCAGGAATAAGAAGGGGCAAAGGAGTTAACCTTGAGACTCTGCACTATTAACGCCGCACCTGGTCTGAACCAAATGTTTACATAAATTGGAAATTTGCAAATTGACATTGTGCTACTGATGGAAAGCAACTTTTCTTATTCTTCAAGTGAAGCGATGAACTTCAGGGTATATTTTAGGCGCTTTGATACAGTTTAGTTTCTGCTGTGAAGAATAATCTGATTGATTGTCTTAAAAGCATTCTGATGCTGGAGAAGGAAATAAGCAGCCCCAAGACAAAGCAGCACGGGGGATTGGGAACTGCCATCACAGCGAGTGCAGGGGGAAGAAGAGAGCCCAACGCAAGAGAAGAGAGGAGTCCCTCATACAGCCCTCCAGGCCTGGCAACTGATGTCCTTCATCCATCCCAACGGGAGCAGAGCTGCTCTGGTTGCAGCATTGCCATGTTTTGAGAAGATGAACCCTCACTGCACATCCTACCTGGGCACTGTCCATGCCCGTGGCTCTGTGGAGCTGCTCACCCTCGCTGGGAACCCAGGCTCCTTGCAGGTCAGGGCAGTTGTAAGTCTGTGTCTTCTTCAGCCTGTTAGAAGAGTTGCAGAGTCTGTAGGTGTGCAAAAACATTAAGGACTTCTCCCCATTCCCTATTGGCCATCTGCAACAGATTACAAACTGAATAACGTTGTGGGTGTTCAGTCCTGGGGCCTCCAAAGGTCAAAGGTAGATGTGGAACTTCAGCACGTCACACACCTTTCCCCCAAAGCCATGTATCCCTCCCAAAACGAGTGAGAAACCTGTTATTGTAACAGGATAGCCTCCCACCCAAAAAAGCCCAACAACTCATTGAGATCCTGTCCATAATGAAATCAAAGACTTACCAATGCTAGGCTGGCAGATGTGATCCTTAGAAAACACACAGGCACCTACCTTTGCTAAAGCCTCAGGCAATTAGGGCATCTGCAGAGCTCTGGGGATCCTGCAGCATGCTCCTTGCCCCCTGCAGTACCATTAGCTGTGGCCTGATGGAAATGATGTGTATTTGTTCTGTCTACAGCTCATTTCCCACTCAGCCCCTCAGCAAGCAGGCAGCCAGATCTCCTCTTAACCAAAGGTGATCAAATCCTGCTTTGCTGCAACCAAGGCTTGACTGACAAGAAGGAAAATATCGTTTTTGGTGTATGCACACAGTGGTGCTGGAAACCCTGCAATACATTTCCCTATGCACCTGATGGGCACCTTAGAGCTCTTCCCTCTAATAGAGTCTGCCTTCACGAGACAGCGAGGCAGCCAGGCCAAGCTCAGAGCTGTCCTGCCTCCATCACACGATTTTCACATGTTCTCCCAGCTCACAATGCCCACAGACCCCAATTTGTTTCCCTGCTGCTTCGAGGAGGCTCCTGCCTACACTGTCCTACAGGAGATGGAACACATACAGCTCTGCCCAGGTGCTAAAACACCTTCTTAGGGGGAGCTGCCAACCCCTGCTCCATATTTACAGTCACAGGCTTGCTGCTAGAATTAGCTATCCAACACCTCCTCCTTAGAAGCAGGTAAGAGGTTGGTGGGTTGTTGTTTAATGTATTTATTTGTTGCATCGAGCATATATAATACCTCAGTAGAAATATCCTTTCTGCCTACAAAGATTTGAGCATCCCCACGTTTCCTTATTAGCACGGAGCTGCCACGCTGGTACAAAGTCAGTAAACATCAGGTCAGCTCTGCAAAGAGCAAAGTGCTCTTGGGGATGTAGAAGGATGAGTGGTAAAACTCATTTACCTGAAAGCAATGAAACCTGGATTCCAGGTCCTACCCAAGAAATAATTAAAGCACCATCAACATCATTTGATGCTAACAGGGAAGGGAGCCTGGAGCCTCATCAGCAGGAAAGGAAACCAAATGTCTCCTCCTGCTGAGCATCTGCTTGTATCCACTAGTGCAAGTTAAGGGAAGGGACTCCATGCAGTGCCAAGAGTGCTCTCAGGACAGAAAACCCTCATCCTCCCATCATACCTACATTATGACTCCCCATAGGACAGAGACATGAAGCACGTGCTCAGCATCTCCTGCTGTCAGGACCCGCTCATGCCCATGTGCATTAAGAAACTGATACCTGCAGGACTAGGCATGGATGGATGGACGCCAGCGATACCTGCGAGCAGTTGTCTTACACAGCAATTCTTTGAAAATGACACTGCGTATTTTTGGGAGTCATGTGAACATCTCAGTCCTCACAGCTCCTTATTCTGCTATCAGCAATCACCTCCCGGGCCCCAGCAGCTCTCTGCAGACCACGTGCTGAGCAGCTGAGTGGGACCTTACCCCCTTGAAGATATCTGTCTGTCTGTATGCAATCCTAAGTAAAGGACCTTCAGTTACCCAATGAAGATGCAGTAACGAGATGAAGAAAGGTGCCTTCTGCTACACATTTGCTGAGAGGAAAGTGACTCATTTGGTTGCAGGGGTAGGCAATTGAAATGCACAGCACATCTCTGCGTTTAAAGGAGAAACCTACCTTAATCCCATTGCAATTTTATTTATTTAATAGCAGTGATGGAAGAGAATGCAAAAGGAAAGACAGCGCGTTCCAAGGTGCCAGTTGGGTATGGTTTCTTCAAACTAACCCCTTAATCCTAAAGACTTAGTTGCACTACTAAACCCAGAAATACAAGAGAATTGTGTTTAACGAACTGGACAACAGACCAAAGGAGACCTCCTTGTGCTGAGCTGCTACTCAATAGGAACAGAAACTGCCTTAACATAGCAGCTAAGCTTTGTTTCGTTTTTGTTTTTTTTTTTTTTTTGAAAACTTACTCAGTCCTTCACATTCTTGTATGTCATGTTGTGTTTTAAGGTCCCAACTATTTCACCTTGAACTGTCATTGAAGCACTCATCCCTTTCTGTAGAGGCCAGGAACCTGGAACTGTCCTTGCAGGGCTGGGTTAGAAGATGCTCCACTTGTGATAGTCTATATTTTAGGATACACATGGCATAAAGAAAACATCAGCTCCAGTGAATGGAATGGAGGAAGTGCATTAATCCAGCAGGCACTCAGGATCCCAAAGCAGACTTATCAAGTGGGATCAGCAGCTCTAAATACAACACTCACCCTTCTGAGATGACGGTAAATAATCCAGTAGTGCTGCACAGTCACTGTTCAAGTTTTGCACATGGAGAAGACACCTGCTGAGATTAAGGTTACAAAGAACTTTCCCACAGTTGAGCAACAGGTGACTGGGCAAATATTTTCTGTGTTAGCATAAGGGAAAAGGGATGATTCTCCCTTTAGTAAACTCTGCAAGGGAAGCAACAGTAAACAAGGAATATGTAAATGAAAGGCAAGTCACTAGCACTTTATGTTAATTCAAACTTAGATCAGCAACTTGCCATCAAGATGAATGCTAAATCAATTAATGACAACAGAAAAATTTTGCACAGAGCAGCAAGAAGTGAGGTTAGAGGCAGTGCTGCATGCACAAGGACTTTATAGCTCTATGCACTTGTCCTACTTAGAATGGTAAATTCCAGATATGCCTCTGCAGCAGGCAAACTCTCCACTCCCCACTCGGCTATAAAAAGCAAGATTGTTGTAACCAAAAGCCAAGAAAGGAAGCGTCTGGGTGCTGCAGTAACCGTTCCCTCAGATTGAAAGGGAAAAGCACACAGCAGGGACAAGCAGAAAGAATGTATCTATAGATATGTACATAAACCACAGTGCTGTAATTTTTGTATGTAGCAGCAATGTAAATAAATGTATGGTTTTTATAAGATACATATTATGAAAATCTATAAAGGCATATTTTTAGTAAAAAAACGCTCTTCTTTTGTAAATAGTTCTCTTCAGAATAAAACAGACCATTTATATACTGTCTCAGCTCTCAAGTCACTGCTTATCCTGCCCACCTGCAGAAGCATCTTAGCACCTAGCAGCATCTTTAGCACCTCATCATCCCAAGAAATTCATCCAGACAGCACTTGCATGTGTTCTGCAGAGAACAAGGCTGGAGAAGGAATATTGGAGGCATTTACACCTCCTGCTGCACAGGAAAACAGGCAAATTCAAGTCTCCTCCACCATCCAGCCATCTGTATCCTTTAGGGGCCTTTACATGGAGGGGCATTCAAACTTTAACAAGTTTAGATAAATCTCAAATGAACAGTGAGACACGTCCCACGTGCCCCATTTGCAGCTCAGGCCATCTGCATGTCCTGAAGATTCTCCCATCAACAGTCATACCTGAACAAGGCAGGCAGGAAAAAAGGCATCTTTCCATAACACTTGGGAGTGTTTCCATAACACTTTTCCAGGAACGAGGACCTGCCTTCAATAGCCTGCTTGTGTAAACTGGCAACCTGCACAATGTCAGCTGTATAGCTCCTAGACAGATACATATTAATTGTTATTTCATCAGTACCTCCTTCCCCAGAAAGAAATCCCCTCCGCATTCAGCAGAAGGGCTCAGCCCTGGCTTGCCACCCTCCACCTCCAGATGATGGACAGCAGAGGAAACAAAGCCTCAAAAAAGATTTGGCAGCTTGTAACCTTTATTTTTAGTTTTTTAAAATTATTTAAAAAGCATAATTAGAAACTTTCATTACAGAAATAATCCTAGCAATCCAGTTAGACATTCCATTGCTCAACATTTAGGAAACTTCACATCAGCACACCACTAGAGATGCAGTCCCCACCCCTTCCAATTGAACAGTCAGTGACAAGAGCAGATATAACCACTCCTCTACAGCCAGTATTAGGAAAAAAATCCCACTTCAGGAAGTTGGACACCTGGATTGGCAGAGTTCAAACTGTGGCCACAAAGACCTGGACTCAAAGAGAACCAATCTTTCCACATAAGAGAACACTCCAGGTTTGGGTGCACCATTTCCTCATTTTATTGCATCAGTTCCAGTCATTTCTGACATTTCTTTACTTCAGCCTGTAAGAAGTTGCTCCTTCCTGGATCTGCACACTTGCTACCACAAGAGCCCAAAAGAAACACAGTTGGACCCTTTCATTAGAAAGTGGTAACCATCACAGGACAGCTTCATTTCAACAGGAAGGCTTTGAGGACTGACAGAGCTCCTTCCTTGTGCATACACCACATTCAACATGAGAAAGCATACAGAATGACACCTGGTGCAACTTAAGCTGCCCCTTTCCACAGCTGCTTGAGTCTAACCATCATCAGAGCTCACGCTAGCAATGTCATCCCAACTCTTTCTTGGGTTACCAATACAAGATATGTGAAGAAAACAGATGGGTGAAGGCAGCTGGAAATGTACTCCCAGCACCTGAACTGATTAAAAATGTGTTTACACATTCATTGTTTGCATTTTTTTAAAAAAAAAAGTCTCCAAAGTGATTGATTGTGATGTGATTGTATGACTGGGGCTCTTACCACAACCCGTAAAAATCTAAAAAAAAAAAACAAACAAAAAAAACAGGCAAAATAAGTGACTAAATTTTAGCCTCTCCTGGGGGAAGGGGGAGGAAGGGAGAGAGGAGGGCTGATCCAGAGCTCATGGACATCAGTGAACCACATCCTACCAAACCAAAGTCAGCAATTCCATTGGGCTCCCTGCAAATGGAGTAAGTCTGCCTTCAAGATCTTAAAGGAAGTCATATCTTCCATGCCCTTTCGTCATCTTAAAGAAAATTCTTAATTATTATTTAGGCAATTATTCAGGTGCTGAGCACGTACATTCAGCCCAGAAATCTAATACTTCAGTTACACAATCTCTCCCCCTTTAACTATATCTATCCAGGGCAACAGACTGAGCCACTGTTTTCCCAGAAAAGCCAACATGGGCAAGGGAAACATCGCTGGGCACAGCAAGACCAGTTTGTTTTCAAAGGTGATCCTCCAAGCAAGTTTTCCATTTTCTTACATTAAAGAGCAGTCCTCCTTTCTAATAGAAGAGTCCTGGGAATGATCCTGCAGCAGCTTTCATTTTCAGACATCAATCCAGAATGGCTAGATTTCTTTTCATGCCTTTTCTCACTGAAAAACACAGCTCCAAAATTCGGCCACCAAAATTCACATTCATGTTCAGATCTCCTATTTGTTGATGGGACGATGAGGAAAAAGGGGTATTGTTGTTTTTTTTTTTTTTGGCAGAACGACATGATTTTTGTTCTCAAAAGAAATGGACCCTTACTTAGGACCGTGGCAGAACCAGAAGCAGAGGTCAAAGGAGTTTAATTTCACCCTTAAAAAAAAAAAAAGTTTTATCCAAATAAATCCCACTTCTGCAGGCTGTTTGTTTTTTTTTTTTCCGTATGTTGATACAAATGGAAGGAGAGCACGGGTACAGCTGGGCTGCAGCACATGAAGATGAAACCCAAGGACCCAGCCAAAAACCCAGATCATGGCAAACTGAAATTCAAGGCCCCAGCAGCAGCACCAGCTGCCAGCCCAGGGGCTTGAGAAATGAAACCCCAGGCTTCAGCAACAACACCTGCAATCCTGGTACCTAGAAAAAGAAAGCCAGAGCCCCAAGTAAAAGCCTGGAACTCTAAGTGAAGCCATAGGCCCCAGGGGCACCAGTTGCCAGCCTGGAGCCCAACAGAAGTGAAGCCAGAGGCCCCAGGAAGCAGTTGCTGCCAGCCTGAGGCCAACTCGAATTAAGAACTTGGTACTATTTCATTAAAAAGGTGAACTCTGCAGTCCATGATTGGTTGACATTAAGAAGGCATAAGCCAAAGCAACAACAGGGAGGCGAGGCTGGTTAACGCAATATACATTATATACAAACTCTTGGGTTAATTAGTCCACTTGGTAGGCAACGTCCTTTCTTGTCTACAAGGCGCACTGGAATGAGCAGGGGAGGAGAGAGGGGCAAGATTCCATCCGATACTTTCTTGGCACTGAAGTGGTAAGGTGCCAGCGCCTCTTGATAGAAAACATGGAGAAAAAAAATAATCTTTAAATAACGGCACAAAACTGAGAAAGTCCTCCCAAAGCCTGTCCCAGTGGAATTGCCCGAGTCTAGCTGGAAGGGCTGATCTGTCAGAGCAGAGTCTCTGCAGCAGGGGAAGGGCATTAGCAGCACCGCTTCTTCCTTTTACTGTTCTTCGTTAGCTTCACCACATCATTCTGTTGCTGCTGTTGCTGCTTTGCTAAGTTTTCTTTCTTTGCTCGCAGAACTAGCTCTGTAATGCAATTAAACATCTGCAAGAGAAACAAGCAAGATCAGACCACCTAGGAACTAAGGCTAGTCATTAGGGAGTTGCTTTAAAAAAAAAAAGTGTCCACTCTTAAATTTTTTAGTAATGGTTCAGAGATCTTCCCCAACCTACCAGAACATGCCAAGCTCATATCGAGTATCCTCCAGAGTCATTTCCAAGCTACATCTGTAATGCTTCTATCCCCTTTCCCAAACCAATACATAAAAACAGGTAAGTTTGGCAACTGAAGCCTAGAGTAAAGACTGAGCAGTTCTACCTTCTATAAGCATCCTCCCCATTGAGACATCTTTCTTGAGAACAAGCCTAGTATGTTAGTGCTGTAAAGCTAGTAAAAACGCAGTGAGGTCTTCATTTCACTTCTCAACCTCTTCCAAATGCACTCAAATGTCTCTTGTCATACTACCTATTCACATGCAATTTGGGTGAAGCATTTTATCTTTCTTCCTCAACAGAAATAATGTAATTCTTTCTTTTTCCCAAGCCAAAATCTCCAAGTAATTATTTTCCATACTCTGCTCTGCATATTATATTACCTCTTCCACATTAATATTTTCTTTGGCGCTGGTCTCAAACAATTGGATCTCCATCTGCCCAGCAAATTTATAGGCATCTTCTGTTTCTACTACTTTTCTCTCTGGGTCATCATTCTTATTCCCCACTAAAAAAAAGAAAGGAAAAAGTCAGCATAGTACTTTGGCAGGTCAGTCCACTAAGATGCTTTAAATCTGTGATGAATAACTTACCTAGTATCCGGCAGACATCATCACAATTTTGATTAATTTCATGCAACCACCGTTTTACATTCACAAAAGATTCTGCACTGGTTACATCATAGACAACAATGACTCCATGTGTTCCTCTGTAATACCTAAGGAGCAGAAAAAGACAACAAATGTTAATTCAAGTTATGTATCACCTTGTCAGCTCTTGTACTTAGCTTTGACAAGATTGATAACAAATCCCAAGTTAAGGCAATCAAATGTCCCCATTTCATACAATCATTGAGGTTGGAAAAGACTTCTAAGATCATCTAGTTCCACCATCCACCTATCACCAATATTTAGCCAGCAAAGAGTACATCTGTGCAAGCCACAGACTCCAGAATACTGTGGGAGACAGTGCTGAAGGTGTTGCTGAAGTCTAGGTAGACTACATCAGCCATCCCCTCATCCACCAGGTGGGTCACTTGATCACAGAAGGACATCAGGTTGGTCAAGCAGGTCCTGCCTTTCACAAACCCATGCTGGCTAGGCCTGACCTCTGGGTTGTCCAGCATATGCCATGTGTGTGAGCTCCCTCAAGATGATCTGCTCCATAACTTTTCCTGGCACTGAGGTCAGGCTGACATGCCTGTAGTTCCTCCTTACGACCCTTCTTGTAGATGGGAGTCACACTGGCAAGCAATTTCCTTACTAATGGGAGTCATTTAATTCTTCTGTAACAGCTTTGCCACAAGCTATTCCTCTAGATCTAGAATTCCCTGCTCATTTAGTCCATCCTAACAGATTTCAAAGCCCGAAGTCTGTTGCTGACTCCCTTGTTCACGCTGCCAAAACCCTCAAAGATGACAGTGTCTTCTGGCAATGTGAGCAAAAGGCAGCAGTGCTCCCAGCACGCCCTCAGAACTGGCTGTGTGGTGAACCTTAGCGCTCCATCGGCCGCATCAACTCCCTGCAGTAATTTCGTTATCGATGAAAGATTACTTCCAGATTAAAGTCTCCAAATATACTCAACCCCCAGCCACAGTTCTCTTGAGCTCACAAAAATTTCTGTCCTGTTGAACAACTGTGCTCCAATCGCACCTTCCTACTCAGCAGATCTACTCCATATGCACATTCAGTGCGTTCTGCTACCTCCAGCCATTAAAAATAAGCTTTGCTTTGGTTTATTCCTATTAATCCCGGGCCATCAGCGCCTTTAAGAAATAAGTAATAATGATACAAAAATTAAAAAGGCCAAATTCAAGTTCCAGTGTTATCACCTTCACAAAGCTGCTGAAGGCAGGCAGTAAGCACACCACAACAAGCTATGTAAAGCAAGCTGGACCTCCTCAGTTTCCAGCTACATTCCCAGGACTACCAGGTATTTTCTTTACTGCAAATTTGGCAGCTCTGACAAAAAAAAAAAGTAATTAAAACTGCTGACAGCAGGCCTTCACCAGTATCCAGTTTTCATATTTCAAGTAGCTTTATTTCTTCCTCATTCATCTTCTTTCTTATGATCAATATTAAAACCTTTAATTA